AAACAAAACAAAACCAACCCCAACTTACTTAAACTTTCAGCAGCATATAACATTGATTATTCTCTTCTTGAAACACTACTCTCTCTTGGGTTTCCTGTCTCACTGACCACCCCCTCCTCAGTCTCCTCCACTGAATCCTCCTCAGTCTCCTCCACTGAATCCTCCTCATTTTCTCAAACTCTAAATATTGGCATTCCCATGGCTCAACTTTCAACTTCCCCTTTTTTCTAACTATAGTCATTTCCCAGATGATCTCATTAACTCTCATGGTGTTAAGACATCTATAAACCAACAACCCTCAATACGTATTTCTAGGCTAGACCTCTATTCTGAACTCCAAACACATCTCATTAACACCCTACTAAACATCCCTACATGTGTGCCTGATGGGCATCTCAAACATAACATTCTCCAAATGAACTCTTGAATTATTTCCCCAAACCTGTTCCTCCAGTCTTCTCCATCCCAAGAAATGGCACCACACTTTCCTGCTGCTCGTGCAAGAGATATTCTTTACTCCTCTGTTTCTGTCACCTTCCATATCAAATCACCAACAAATCCTGTTGCCCCTTTCTTCCAAGTATAGCGTCTTTTAAACCATTTTCAGCTGTACCGTAACAAGAGATTCCTAACTCATCTCCTGTTTCTGCTCTTGCCCTTCCCACACCTTCCAACCTGCTCTACAGTACTCCCTATACAACCACCACAGATACCCTTCTCAAACATAAATCAAGAACATGTTACCCTCAGCAACAGCAGGCTAATTTGGACCAACTCTATCACTAAAAACAACTAAAAATTCTAGGTTAAAAACAAAAAACCTTAACAACATTATAGAGCTACAAGATAGCAAATAATTGCAGGCCAAAACTGAAATAAAGCAAAAACCCCAAGGTAAATAGAGGCAATTAGAGAACTGCAGGTGCTTTTATCCTAAAGTCACTTGATAATCCAGGCAATTCTGAATTTTGATTTCAATAACTTTGCAATGAGAAGGGAACAAAATTAAAATATTGGAGCTCTTCCAACCTGGAGAATCTAATAGGAAACCATCTTCACTTTAAGCTAGAACCCAAAGGGCCACATACTCAGGGTTATCCAGAAGGATAAACTAGAAATAATCAGCTCTCACATGGACTTACAGTCAGAATTCACGTCAAATGGATATTCCAAAAAAAAAACCTCAAGCTGTGAATTTAATTTAAAGTAGTCCCTAGGCTTTTTGCAGAAGCAAATGCAAATCCTCTCTGCAGGAAAGGCACCTTCATTCTAGGTCTTGAATTACTTCTGTAAGTACTTTTCATAAGCACAGTGAAAGGCACATATAGAAACAAAGCACAATGAGTGAAAATAAGCAAAATACCATAAACATTAGAAACAGAGAAGCCAGAACTTTAGATGCTCTAATTATCAGACATGGGCAAGACGCAGTGGCTCCTGCCTGTAATCCTAGCACTATGGGAGGCCAAGGCTACTGGATTGCCTGAACTCAGGGTTTGAGACCAGCCTGAGCAACAATGAGAATCCCTTCTCTACTAAAAACAGAAAAAACAGCCGGGTATTGTAGAAGTCTCAGCTACTCAGGAGGCTAAAGCAAGAGGTTCGCTTAAGCCCAGGAGTTTGAAGTTGCTGTGAGCTACAATGATGCCATGGCACTCTACCCAGGCCACAGAGTGAGATTCTATCTTAACTAAATGAATAAATAAATAAATTAAAAGTCAGACTAAAGTAAAAATTTAGTTGGCCAAGTACAGTGGCTCATACCTCTAATCCCAGTACTCTGGGAGGCCAAGGTGGGCAGATTGCTTGAAATCATGAGTTCAAGACCAACCTGAGCCAGAACAAGACTCCATCTCTAAAAACAGCTGGGCATTGTGCCAGGTGCCTGTAGGCCCAGCTACTTGAGAGGCTGAGACAAGAGGATTGCTGGAGCCCAAGAGTTTGAGTTTGCTGTGACATACAACATGATGGCACTCTAAGGAGGGTGACAAAGACTCTGTCTCAAAAAATAAATAAATAAAAATAAAAATTTAAAAAATAATAATTATCAGACATGAACTACGACTTTAAAGAAGTAAAACAGGGCAAGTTTGAAAAGACTGTCATGGAACAGAAAATGACAAAAAATGATATGGCAGATTTAAGGAAGAAAAAAACAGTGCTTCTGTAAATAAGCAAATAAAGACACCCATACATATTCATGCACACACAGATATTAAAAATTCAGGTAACAACAGACATGTGTCCATATGTCTCACAAAAGAATGTTACAATGTTTATAAAACCACTATTCATAATAGCTAAAGATTGAAAACTACCCAACTGCTCATCAGTAGCAGATTGAATAAATTGTTGATATATATATATTTTTTCCCCGTCCTCCCCAGAGAATCTCACTTTGTTATCCTTGGTAAAAGTGACATGGTGTCATAGCTCATAGCAACCCCAAACTTTTGGGCTCAAGTGATTCTCTTGCCTCAGCCTCCCAAGTAACTGGGACTACAGGTGCCCACCACAATGCCTGGCTATTTTTTAGAGACAGAGGCTTACTCTCACTCTGGCTGGTCTGGAACCCTTGAGCTCAGGCAATCCACCCACCCTGGCCTCCCAGAGTGCTAGGGTTACAGGTATGAGCCACTATGCCCAGCCTAAACTGTGCTATATTAACACAAGAAAACACTAAAC